TGTGCCCCCCTGCCCCGAGACGCCCCGCTTTCACCTCACCCACGGGTGCCACGCGTGACTTTCACCCCCGCCTGTCCCGGCAGCAGAAGCTGGGTGTGCTTTGGGCAGCCCGCCGCCCAAATACCATCTCATGGTGAGCCGAGGGAGCAGGTGAGGCCGCCTGTCAACTTGTTTTGTTGTCAAATAAAAGGCAGAGCTGCTTCGTTAATTGCTCTGGCTAATTAAATCTTTCCAAATTCACGCAGTGGTTATTGCTCAGGCTGCGTGGCCAACGCATCGATTTCCCCCTTGCTCTGAAAGCCCTGCTAAATTACACGTGCTCTTTCTGCAATGTCGTTTCTAAAGGCAGGTAGTATTTTTATTTAAATTCTTTTGAATAATAACAGAGTTGTAAATAAAAAAAAGAAAAAAAGGGTCAGAAGAAGACATCAGGAATACCCATCTACTTTTGCATCACTTTATTTTTTAGATCAGGTAAGTAGTATGTAAACAACATTTGGATTTCACTTTAGTAAGTGGAAGCACAGTGGCTTTTAGCAGCTTAAGGGCTTGTTCTGTTCCTGACTCTGCTCCCAATTTGATTTGTGATGTTGGGCAAGTCCTAACACAGTCAGGTTTTAATAAAAAGCCTCCAGTTTAGAGGGCCTAATTTCAGGTATTTGGGGTTTGATTTTCGTGAGCTTCCAGGCATTCACAGCCCCTATCAGTTTCGGTGCAAGGAGCAGGTGCTGCAGATCAGGCTGAAGGTATCTGACTCTAAACCATTCAAGCCTTTAAAGTTGAGCTTGACACTCTGGGACTTCTTTTCCAGTGCATTTGATTATTCTGAATGAACATATGATGGAGGAGGTGTTTTGAGAGCCTTGCATGGGCAGTATAAATGAGTTGTATTTTTTGTTATGCATGTACGTATTGCTATAATGAATACAAATTTACTTGCTCTGGTGAAAAAGGCAATGTAAAATCAGAAGAAATCAGCTCTTATGTGATGGAGAGGAGGATGTCAGTTTTGAACTGAGGCGGCCCGAGTGCTGTTACTGCACTGTCGCAGGAGGACTATCCCCGCAGGTCCCGTCATTCACGTCACGGGGTTTGGGGTTCTGCTGAGGCACTTTGAGTTGGGTGCCTGGTTGCCTGGGGATGGTTTCTCTGAGAGATAGGCCAGCCTGCCTAAAATGCCAGCCTCCCCCCAAGCACTGTGGACTTGTCTCCTCACTTGGGTGACTCAGCTACCTGGGAGGGGTGAATTGAAAACTTAGCCTGTGGGTGATGGAGATGCTGAAATGCTATTGCTTCTGGCTTGAGTTGGAGATACTCACTGTGAAAGTCAGGGCAGGAGCATCTCGGCTTGTGTTCCTCATCTGTAAAATGAATCTTACCTGTTTCAGCCCTAGCTTGACATACAGGCCGTAATCTTAATATTGGAAATGAATTCAGCTTTCATTAGGGATGTGTCCCTAGAATCGATGATGGTTTCATTAAATGTATTTCCTCTGTCGGTTTGAAAAATATATCAGAATTAATATGTGAGGAAAAGTGAATGGAAAAAACCCGAATTCAGTTATGGAGAAAACATTGATTAGCGGCTGAGGTGCCTATGTCTGTACCTGGCAAATTTTATTTCTGCTCTTCAGTGTTCATGAAAACATGCAAACGAAAATTAGCTTTGAACTCACAAGTTAAATAAAATAGGTACCCTCAAAAGTCTTTGCTCCCTACTGAGTAGTTCTGCTTAGGGAAGCCTCCATCTAGCACAGCAGATTCAGCTGTTGTCATTCCCATCTGAGGAGAGGCTGTGAATAGCAGCACTGCGTGATCCAGTATATTAGATTTGGATGAACTGGCAGAAAGCACGGGATGGCTTGGAAGCACCTCTGTGCACTCCTCAGTGTGCTCGGCCACACTTTAGCAGCTTTGAAGTAACTCCCATCGTTTTGAAGCAGAAGGCACATTATTTTGACTAATGAGGTTCACCCAAGCATCTCGACTTTTCTGGTATAAAGAAATAGTCATGGAGTGTGTTTGCCTTCAGTGCATTGGCACTCGAGTCTATGAGTTGGGACTGTCAGGGTGTTTCTGGGTAGTATGTCTGTATGTTTGTGCCTTCAGAAAGGTATCGGTGCTCAAAAAGTGATCATCAAATGAGGAACTGAGAGATTAATCTTCAAAAATAAGGACATAGTGATATTATTCATTTCTAATGTAACAGAAAAGGCAACCTTTTCAGTTTACCACGCATCAACACTGGGATATTTCTTTCACTATCCGACAAGGTGAAGATGGCTTTTTCACTTGGCTCACCGTGTTTTCCTATGTAGATGTTTGACTACGGTAGAATATTGCAGCAGATATGTTTGTCTTCAGAAAGGTCAGAAGAATGTTGTTGTACTGAGACCACGCTATGAGCAGATGCCAAGACAAAACGAACAAAGAGTACATCATGTCTAACTGGCCAGGCAGATGCCAAACTATCCCCAGGACAGGAGGTGGTAATAAAATCCTTTCTTCACCTCCCCTTTTTGTTCCCCAATTCCACCTTTCTCTGCTACGGTGCTGAAGTACTGCATACTTCAGATAAAGTATAACCACTTAAATTTATGTAATAAGAGCAAAAAGAATGGCGTCACTGTGATCAAATAGTTGTTGCCTAGTCTTGTTGGCTGCAAAAAGAGTAAGCCAAGCCATTGAATTGTATCTCTGGAACTGAGAAGGCTGATGTTGATTTAATATTTACGATGGTTTGAAAGTCATATTATGTAAAAACTGCCAGATTGAAGCTTGTCAAGCAGCCGTACCCTCTGGCTGCGCGACAGAACGGCTGAATGTCGATCGAGCACTTCTGCTGAGTAAACCAGTTGGAGCTTTCTAATTTTAGCTACCTGCTGAAGTGGTTAGTTGAAAGATGCAGATGTATAATCAGTGCATTCACTCTTCCCAAACATCTTCCCATTCCCGTGTCTCTGCTTCGTGCATGTGTTAGGTGATGTAGGCAGCAAGCTGAGGGCCCACCTCCTGTGCGACTTGACTAGTTTTGGTGTAACTGCTGGTGTCATTATGTTGTTGCAAGTAATTTATGTAAAATGCTTTCTGTCTGTGCCACTGTAGCTTCATGCTCAGAAGTGGGAGCTAGGTCCGTCAGAAAAGAGAAGGGCTTGGCTTGTGATTCTCTATTTCTGTCTGTTTCTTTAATGGAACGGGCATATACTTACCAGAGTTGTATAAAGTAGGTTAGATACTCTGCTGATTCAATATCCCAGCAGAAAACCATTGCTGTGATCTCTTTAGAAACGATGTCACCAAATTTCATAGGGAAAAATGTGCTGGTTGACTTTTGGTGGTGGAAAGCAGCTGGTGAAATGCTGGAGGGCCAATGCTGGTGATGAGAGCAGCAGGTGAGGGGTCATCCAGTGGCAGATGTGTGGTGGAACGACATGGTGCCTCTCAGTGAGTCTTTGTGCAAATACTGGATTTGATTCTGGTCTCAATTTCACTGGAGTGAACTGTCTTTGCTGAAATGAGGAGAACAAGTCTGCTGTTAAATTAAAGGAAGAAAAGCCAGAATCAAGACCTCACCTTTTCAAAAACTATAGAAATTGGGTTTTATGATTTCTTTTTTTTTTTTTTTTTTTTTTAGTTCAGTTCTAAATTTCATTGTTGTGGATTTCTTCCTACCTGTAGTGTGAAGAATTTGCAGGTTTTTTTCCCCCTTGAGAGAAATGTGTGAAATGCTTTTAGTGTTCCCAAACCTTTGCGATGTGATGAACTTTTCTCTGCCGATCAATTTCAGCATCCTTTGTCAACCCTGGGATACTTGTAACTTAAGGAAGGTCAGCAGATGTTGCCATGGATTTTTTTAATTCACGAGCTAAGGAGGAATTAAATTTCACAACTGTAGCTGAGATTCTCAGTGATTTACAGCATTAACTGGACAGTGAAGTTTTTCTGTAGAAATAACAAGTCAATAGGGACCAAGTTAATTGCTGTGTTTTAGTGCAATAACCCAGTGTGATCCCTCTTCAGTTCTGCATTATGGTAAATATGAGTCCTGGCATTAATCAGTATTATCTTTTCATCTGACGTTTGGAGCTTTGTTAGTGGTTATTTGTCTGGAATGATTACATTTGTTGACACTAATTTATAATGAAATTATTATTTAAAAAGGGAAGAACAGTCTGGTTACCTGCATCTCTATGCTCTTGATTTTTTTTTTTTTCCTATTTGCACCTATAAAAAATAAAAGTAATTTGGTAAGGCTCATCAGAAGGTAACTGATGTTTCTGATAAACCTCAAGTACCACTGTAATTTGGGAGAGATTCATTCTTGTGTGTTTCTGTTTGTGACAGAATGCAAAGTCTGGCGAAATCCTTTAAATCTGTTCAGAGGAGCTGAATATAATCGGTAAGTGCTACGATATTACAGTTTCAGGCATAGTACTGGCTTAAGGACCTTAACTGTACTTTTCCATTAATCTAACTCAGAGATGGAAAAATGAGACCAACTGTGGACAGATGTGCTCATGCCAGGTTTTTCTGTCATTTGTAAAATGTTTCTGAATGAAAAGGAGTTTAAATTCATGCTCATGCAGTTGTTATTTCTGCAGTTTTCAGAGACCTTATGAAAAAACAGAAAAACTGAAATGCAGTGTACCTGGTACTGTTAGTACAGTAATTCTGTTCAAATCAGTTATAGCAGACAACCTAATGAATTATATCTAGGTTTCATGTAGTCTTAATGTTTGAATACGTGTTTTACAGACTTCCAGTGTGTGCTTTCCAACATCCTCATTAGCTTAGGTTTGACTACTGTCGTTCCATTGCAGTACAGTGACATGCAATGTATGTTGGTTAGGAGATTGGCTGGGTGAACTTAGTAGGCTATGCCCATCTCTACCATCTAGGATTCTTTTCTAGATTAATTTTGCCAAATATGACCTCACTAACCAAAATGTGTCTGTTGGCATGTTTGCAGGTATACATGGGTAACAGGGAGAGAACCTTTGACTTACTACGATATGAATCTTTCAGCACAGGACCACCAGACATTCTTTACATGTGACACGGATCATTTACGACCTGCAGACGCTAGTAAGAGACTTTGTGATCAACTGTTTTTGCGACTAGGTTAATGATTGTTTTAAACTGATGCAAGAAAAAGGCAGTCAGACATCAGGTAGATAAGGAAAGGCAAAAGTTTGGTCATGCCTGGAAAGCTGTTGCGGTTGGATTTGTAGTATTGTAGATAAGAACAAGTATCTATATAGGTATAAACTATCTAAATTGTGTCACTATTTTGTTCTACGTTCTTGCTGAAGTTGTTAAAGGTACCATTTGCCAGTATAAAGACTTGTTTTTTCCTCCTGTTTCTTGCACTGGCTTCAAACATGTATAGCTTAATTTGCCTCCAGCTGCAGTGTCGTATGTTGAGTTACATTATCCAGATCCCATTTAGTCTATACTGACAGAAGAGAGAGAGCTTATGTAAAAATTGAGTCCTGTGTTTCATTCCCTGATGTAGGTAGAAGCTCTATAAAAAATGGGAACAGCACACTTACAACTGAATTTGATATAAGCAGCTTTAGTTGTGTTAAGCCTTTACTGTTAAGTCCACGTGCAGACTTTGGTTCTGCTAAAAATGTACAACAATGATTTCGATCATTAGAATTTGCCTCTGAAGAGACAAATGTTAGGAAAGGAGACGTACTAACAGTTAGGTGCTCCATTCTGGGGCCATAATTACAAAGCAGAACATACTGTGCTTTTTTGACACACGATAAACATGAATTCTATTTTCTGAACTCGATGGGCTAATTATGAGGTGGTCTGATTAGCCTGGATGTTGTTTCCATTTACCATTCACCTAATGCAACTGCACAGTAAGGAACTAGAACAAGAATCCCAACTATCCTTATACGCTTCTGTGCCCTGTGGAATCTACTAGCCCAGGAGGAAAAAGCTGCTTGTCACCTCCGTATGTGACAGTGCAGATGGCAGGATCCCTCAGCCAGATTTTCCCATGGAAAAATGTTTAATTAAATGAAAGAATAAAGCTGAGTATTTGGGACAAAAGCTCATGTTGATCTTTTGAGTGATCACTGAGCTCTTTGAAATGCTCTGAAGTAAGTCAGGCTTAGAGCAATAAATTTTGTTGTTATAATGCAGTAGATTCTCCTTGTTAACACTGTAATGACTGATATGCCCCTCTTCTGCTTTGTTTATTGCATAGTAATGCAAAAAGCCTGGAGAGAGAGAAACCCCCAAGCCCGAATTTCTGCAGCGCATGAAGCTTTGGAATTGAATGAGTGAGTGACAACAACATTAACATTTCTTTCCTGTCATTTAAAAATGCATTTCATGATAGCTTAAGGCAGGAGGTTTACTACAGTCATTTTTAGCCATGATTACAGGCCTGTCACAGGAAGACCTACAATGGGAGGAAAAAAAGCCCAGCTGCATGTTGTGCCAGCCACCCAGAAGATCCTTAGGGGAGTGATGACAATGGGAGTCTTCCCATTGATGTCAGTGGGCTTTGGATCAGCTTAGCAAAGTGTTAATTAAGTTGCCTCCTGATGAGCATATGAAATACGCGTTTATGGGATGGAGAGTTCCCTTTTGGATTTCTCAGTCGTCCTGAACAGAGGCAAGAAAGAAGGGACTCATAAACACCTTCTGAAATATTCATTTCATAGTGTGAGAGAATATGATGTAATTTACTGGGACTTTCATTCTTTGAGTCTGTTATTCATTTTCTCATTGAGAAGTGTAGTATTCTGAGATCCCACAATAAACCCAATGCTGCGATGTTTTACTGGCGTGGCAAACTGTATATATGTTGCCAAAGTGCCTAAAGTGGAGAGAGTCCCTTAGGTTGCTGTCAGAGATACCCGCATTCTGGAATTCCATAAACTGGTGCCTTATGGATTGTCCTTCATGTGTTTCATCATCAGGAGAAGAATTGTTTGTTCCTGGACAGCAGTTTCACTGAAAGAGCATGTAGCATCAAATGCTTTTGCAAAAGTGAGCTATATGCCTATCCTGTTCTACTCGCGTATCATGGAATGGCTGAGGTTGGCAGGGATCTCTGGAGGTCACTTGGTTCAACCCCCTGGCTCAAGCAGGCCCACCTACAGCACATTGTACAGGACCGTGTCCAGGTGGCTTTTGAGACTCCACAACCTCCCTGGACAACCTGTACCACTACTCGGTCACCCTCACAGTAAAAAAGTGTTTCCTGATGTTCAGACAGGGCCTCCTGTGTTTCAGTTTGTGCCCATTGCCTCTGGTCCTGCCACTGGGCACCACTGAAAAGAGTCTGGCTCCATCCCTTCCTTGCGCCCTCCCTTCAGGTATTTACAAACATTGAGTAGGTTGCCCCCCTCGAGCGTTCTCTTCTCCAGGCTGAACAGTCCCAGCTCTCTCAGTCTCACATAAGAGATACTCCAGTCCCTTAATCATCTTCATGGCCCTTCACTGGACTCTCTCCCATATGTCCATGTCCCTCTTGTACTGGGGAGCCCAGAACTGGACACCACACTCCAGGTGTGGCCTCACCAGTGCCAGGTAGAGGGGAAGGATCACCTCCCTCGACCTGCTGGCCACGCTCCTCCTAATGCAGCTCAGATACCATTCGCCTTCTGCGCTGCAAGGACACATTGCTGGCTCATGGTCAAGTTGGTGTTCACCAAGACCCCCAGGTCCTTTTCTGCCAAACTGCGTGGCCCCCAGCAAGTACTGGTGCCTGGAATCTTGTTTTCACCCGGACCTATTGTTGCCTGTTCCTCAGTCAATGACTCTTTGTAAAACACAACTAGAGACAGCTGCAGCCTGATTCTATTTCCATGTAAAGAATAATCTTAGCAGCAGTGTGCTTTGTATGGGAAAGAACTCAACAGGCTATGTCCCACCTAACTTCAACTGCTAAAAATGTGGCCATTGAGATTAAAGTAGTTGCCTGGACTCCCTCTATAGTCGATGAGAGAGGCACCTCCATTCAGCAGTTCACCCTCTTCTTAGAGAGATGTTTAAACCTGTGAAATGAGTGGCTTTGTGAAAAGGTGCTCCTTGATGGAGGTGGAGGGGCAGAGATAGTTAAGAGATCTAAGTTAGACAGCTAAAAGCTGGCTGAGGTGCCTCCCACCATGCATTTCACTTGTCTGTGTATTCCTAAAGCTGCTTTCCTGTTTTGGGGTTTGTTGTTTTGTTTTTTCTTTCTTAATGTTTACAATTGCATTTATAATCTGTTCTTTGCATATGGCAAGTATTGTAGGTCTATTGATTCCTTTCGTACCATTACCGTAATGGAGACATTTTGTGTTAAAACAATGGTGCGTAAAACTAGTCTTGGTTTCCAGAAGGAGTTTTAGTGACGTAGGCCATGATTGCTTAGTGAGACAATACTTTACTGTCTGGGGCAGTTGTCAGTAGATTGACTCAAGTGGCTGAGTGATACAGTACCTACAAATGACAGTCATGGTCTGGTTGCCAGAATATTTATTCGTGAGGATAGTTCATCAGAAAGGTATATGGACAAAACTCCATTGCCTCTGTGTTTGGAACGTCCTTGCCAGTCTGCATGTTGTCGTATAGCTTTTACTTCATGCAACTTTCTCATGGTTTTTCCTCTGATATTTTTGCAGGTGTGCTACTGCCTATATTCTCTTGGCTGAAGAGGAAGCCACAACAATTGTAGAAGCAGAGAAGCTGTTCAAGCAAGCTCTGAAAGCTGGAGAGGGCTGTTACAGGCGCAGTCAGCAGTTACAGCACCATGGTGCCCAGTACGAAGCCCAACACAGTAAGTTTCTTTAGGGGGAACAGCTGTTTCTAAAGGGAGAGAAGTTCTGGGGAGTTCTTTGGTTTTTGTTTTTTTCTTTTCCCTCTCAGAACTACGTACTCAGTATTTAACATTGGCTGGAATATGACCCAAGAGCCAGACTATTCTGTTTCAGTGTTTTTGCTTGATTCTGTTGCTGAGCTAGGAATGCTCAGATTACAGATGCACCTTTTCTTTGTCGTAGCAGAGAATACTGTTGCATGTACTTAACAGAAAAGAAAAGGTAGCAGAGCCAAAAGAGATCTGATATTCAGAAAATGCTGGAGACTGTTTGAGGAAGTTGCACTGAAGTGCCTTTAGCCATTTTGAAAACAAGCTCATGTTGTGAAAAGGCAGTAAAGAAGGATGGAAACAGGAGTGAAGTGATGCTTTGCCAGCTTTTTTCCGTCAGCTGCAGGCATAAATACGCACACCACATTGTTCTGTGTAAAAGTTAATGAGACCCATTAACCAGTGTGACATTTGAAAAGTTAGTTGCATACATTAAGAAAGGTCACAGAAACATGAAAATTAACAACTGGAATAATACAGTGCTCTAATTGAAAGTCTAGATTTTTTTATTTTATTTTTTAAATTTTGAATAAGCAGATTTAACTGCTGTGATGATATTTATTAGATGGTTCTTAAACCTAAGAAAATACATGAGGGTCCACTGCCAGTAAATGAACAAAAAGATAAATAAACAGTCTAGCTTATTTCTAGTCTACGATGGCTACCTCAGGCAACAATAATACCAGTTAATTACAGAAGTACAAGCACTAACATACTTCAGGCATCTTCAGGTTTCTGAGGACCTGGATTCACAGCCTCTGGCTATCTTACATAATTTGAAGATTGCTGATAAAAATTGTACATAATGAAATTGTCTGTAACCTCTGTTTTCAAAAGCGTACACAAGTCTACACCTGAAAACCTAAGGATTTATAAAGCTTGGGGGTTGTATTTTAAACATTTGTTGGTTATAAAATGATATTTAGGATGATTTGCTTATTTTTGATGAAAAAAAAACCAAAACAACAGAGCAGCTGAGCCCTTGAAGCAATTTTCAGGCTCTAGCAGGCTTGTGGTTGTCTGTGAAACCTTAATTTGTGCACTCAATCCATCCTGAGTGCAAAAAATGACAGCAATTCTATGAAAAATATACAGTAAAAGTAATTAAACACTGTCACGATGCTTATGTCCAAGATAACCTGGTTAAGTCTGTGCAGGCAAATACAAGAATGGTATTTTTGTAACCTGCGTGTGCAAGATGGCTACTGCCATCATCAAATTTGCCACCCTGACCCTTGAGTATTACAGCAGAGGAAGTAACCGATTCAATCGCAAAATTAAGTGCATTGCCACAGAGCAGGAGGGGCTGCCAGCTCTGACTGTGGCTTCAGGAGTGGCTAGGTCATCGCAGTTCTCTATACCACCCAGCCTCCCCTCGATAATGTCAGTGTGCGCCCACAGAAGTTAAGAGAGGTTCCAGCCTCAGATGGTGCCTTGGACACAGGGGCTTCAAGTAGGATTCTCTTGATTATATGTTGGGCTTCTGTGTGGTTTACAAAGGTGGAGAGCTCAGCTGTCTTTAGAGAGGAAGGAGCGTGGATGGATGTGTTTGCAGTTCCATGGTTCTTGAGATGTCTGTCATTCCACTTTTGGTCCTTGAGGTTGACTTTGGGATTAAAAGTGGGCATTTCATCTTTTACAGGTGAAAAACACACTGTAGTTTCTTGAAAAATAGCATATTGCTCTATGTTTCTGTTTATTCATGTGTTCCATCTCCTTCACACAGTCTTTTATGTTAGACGGTGAATTTTAAGAGTAAAGAATGACTTTGAGTACCCAACTTAACCTCTTTCAAAAGGTGCTAGTTTATAGAAAGCACGGGCAATCTTCTTTTTAAGGTGCCTGGTCACCCCAAATCATTAGTCACCTCAGAAAATTTTGACCTGAAAGCTTATCTTGACTTCATAGTAAGTAAATACCTTTTGACCATTCCTTCTCAAAAGACTGAAAAGGAGCTTGGCCTGAAATGTATACCTCTTAGTTAAACTACATAATCATGTTGAAACAGATGTAACTAATAAATTGTTTATTAAATATATAGGTATAAATACAGAGATAAGGAAGTACATAATATAAAATACAGCTAAAAAAATTTCTTCCCTCCCTTATTTCTTTTTTCTTCTAAAGTCAGACCTTTAACCTGCTGCTTAATCTATCTGAAAATTGTAATCACAGTTTTAAAACAATTTGTAGGTACTTGGAATGTTTTCAGTTGCCCATCTTGTTCTTACCACGAAAGACATGAAAGTGTTGGAAACAGACTAAAATCTTTACAGACTGCATACTATACACAAAGGTAATTTGTAGCAGGTGTCTTATATTTTCACAATATGGTAATTTTATAGATGATTAGCTATCTGCTCATTTCTCCTTGGTCCAGAAGCATGGTAAGAGTTCACATTGGAATTACAGGGAAGAGAATAAGAAATGAGATGAGTAAGAATTCTCCAAAAGAATAATTATTGCAACTGTTTAGTTTCTGTCATCTTTGCTGTTAGGGCATCTTCCAGCACATAGGACTGTCAGATCTGAAACATGTTAATTTGCCATCCATAATTAGCGGTGTGAGGAATTTGAAGATGATAATTGGTTAACCAGTAAAGGCTCTGTGAAAAGAAAGTTCAGGGTATACTTTTGTTCTAATCGGTAAGAAAAAGACTGTTGGAGGATGAGGATTTGTTTTGCTACGTCTCCTGTTAACAAGCACGTACCTCGTAACTTACAAAAGAGGCAGGATATAACATGCATTTTCATGGATGCCCTCGCCTTAACCATGTATGAGAATTGGTAAGTAATTTAATGCTGTGTGTGTGACCACAGTTTTGTGCCAACGTTAACTTCGTAGGAGTTCTCCTTGCCTCACTTGGTTACTTGATGGGCTATACCCTATAGCGTTCTCTATACCTTCAGATCTCCTTGTATTTCATAAGTGTAAGGCCAGCCCAGGGGTCCTTATTTATACCACTGCATATCTGGAGTAATTCCACTGATTTCAGTGATGTTATGCCACATCTGAATCAGCAAAATTTGGTAATTTTTTAATTAAAGTTATTGTGAAAGCATTGATGTTAACGAATAACAAAAAATGGCGAGAAAACTATGTTTCCTTTTGTATTGGAATATTAAATGAACCTTTGTTTTATCTTTTTTTATCTTAACGCTGTTTCTTTTTCCTCTTATACAGGAAGGGACACCAATGTGTTAGTTTATATTAAGAGGAGGCTGGCAATGTGTGCAAGAAAGCTGGGAAGGACCAGGGAAGCAGTGAAAATGATGAGAGATGTGAGTTTGGATTTGTTTCGCATGTGATACTTAGATAATAGCAGCATAGAAACAATACGCGATTACTTACAAGCTAGCATCCGTTCCTGCTGCATGCAGCACTGCTGATAGTCGTTTTGTATGCGTAATGTACATGAAGATTACGTTAAGAGATGTCGCGAAAGCAACACTATGAAGTCATAAAATACCAGATGGATGGTTGCCCATACAGACTGAATTTCCCATCCTGGTACATGTGCAATGGAGTGCAGTCTTTAATTATTTGATCATGAAGTTACTAACGTTTTTTCTGAAGCATGTAATGAACGCTGCTGACTTAGTAAACAGGTCTTAAGTATTCTGTTTCCTCCTTGCAAAGCTGCAGTTTGGCTCTGATAGTCATTTTGTATGCGTAATGTATATAAAGATTACGTTAAGAGATCATTTATTTATAAGGTTGCGAAAGCAACACTTTGAAGTCATAAAATACCAGATGGACGGTTGCCCATACAGACTGAGTTTCCCATCCTGGTACATGTGCAATGGAGTGCAGTCTTTAATTATTTGATCATGAAGTTACTAACGTTTTTTCTGAAGCATGTAATGAACGCTGCTGACTTAGTAAACAGGTCTTAAGTATTCTGTTTCCTCCTTGCAAAGCTGCAGTTTGGCTCTGTGCGTTGTTTATGCCACACTATTCAGACCTGAGGGTGGTCTTACTTATACATGGAAAACCTATTACTGAGAAGTCAAACCCAAGTAATTAATCTGTAATGAACTGATTTCCCTCTGAGATGGGGGATGACTGTATCCTGTTTTGTAGGCAGGGGAGCTACCAATAGTAGTCGTATGTTAGTAAGCTACGAAGCTACAAATTTGAAACACGGAACAGTAGCTGTTTGGGGGATGGCAGGAGAGGCTGCTGTCCACGGAAGGCACTGTATATGTTTCAAGTATGTAAAATGCTGAAGTTTAGAGATAGCTGCGAATGCCCAGCATTTCTTCAAGTGAGATCCCCTGGGTGCAGATTAGGAACACATTCTTTGAGGAGGTGACTTGCCTCATCTGAGGAGGCAAGTCTGTGACAGAAGGAGGAGTGGAGCCCTAGTGCTCTGGGCAGATGATGGTAAAACTGCTTACCAGTTTCCTGCATTCTCCTTTCTTACACTTCATTTTCCAGCTCCCACAAAAGTGAGGTAGAGATGAATCCGACAAGATAGAGAGTTCTGCAAGTTAAGCTGAAGGACCTAAATTTTAAATGCACAAAATGGAATCCCAGACCAGAGTGAAGCACCTGTAAAGTGTGCTTTAGGCAACTCAGGTTAATGGTCCTTAAACCTGCCTAGTGAAAAAGGGAAATTCTCGCTGCAAGTCAGTGGGAATTTTAATGTAAAAAGGCAAGTGGGTTTCTCTGGAGCTTAGGCACTTGCATCAACGGCAGCAGGGCAAGTACGTCTGCCAGCTTGGAATCCAGCACCCAGCATCTTCTCATGGAACTGGGGCAGTTACGAATATTTTTGGAAAACATTGAGCAGAGTTCATTGTAATAATGCAGGTCCTCATCCTAAATAATCTACTAGATGGCAAGTGGTGAGTAACTCTCTTTTCTGTCTTTAGCTGGGTTTTTTCAGGCACACAGTTCTCACTTCCCAGAATCACTAGGCTCCCAGACAGAGGTGTTGAAAAAGAACTTGTTGAAACCCCGGCCATGGTACAGCTAGGAGTGTAAGAAAGAGGGACAAGGAAGAAAGACCTGGTTTTGCAGTCTTGTGGTCAGCTGGGAGAATGTTGATTTCGCAAACGCCGTTTTCAGTCCAGCCAATTCCACTGATTCTTCATGAATTTTGTTACACAGGCACTCTGGGAGAAATACTGAAATGTTTGGGGACAAACATTGGAATTCTAAGTTCTGGCATTAATATACAAGAAAGATAAAATTTTGGATTTCACATTCAAATGTCACACATCATAATTACGGCAACTTTTGGAGCTTACTATGGGCTGCTGAATGTGTTTTGTGATTTGTAGATAGGGCTATGTGGAACAGATACTTTGTGAAGCCGCCTTCTGCTGATGTCAGTATGTATGGTTAATTGTGTATGCAGAGCCCTGGATTTGGGGACTTGGGTGGTTCATCTGCTCCTGCGTTTCTTATGCAAAGTGAGACCCAGAATGCTTTGATTATAATGAACGGCTTATTCTGTCACTAGAGAGAGAACTGTGTGTTGTTAAAGTTAAGTACAGTGTGGATTTCAAAAGGCAACAGTGACAGGGAAACCCAAAGTCATCATTTGTTAGACACTTGAAGGACAGAAAGCACTCTCCTCAATAGGAACGTTTTGCTGACATGAAAGGACTGGATGCAAGACAAAGAAGGTATAAAGATAGAATTTCAGCTTCTAAAGCTTCAACTCAGATCAATGCATTCTGTATTTTTCCACGTACAGGCACTGAGCGAAATACTCAGAACTGAGTTTAGATGCCTCTAGAGCTCTTCGTTGTGAGCGAGCAGAGTTGAGAATTAACAGGGCCCTAGATGAAATATAAAAGCAGCGATATCTCTAGGTCGTAACTCCAGTACACTGCGAGCAAGAGTAGGGTCAAGTCAGCTTTGCAGATGCTTTTCTTAGACTGACTTGGAGCTACTTATTTCTGATGAATGCATATCCTCCATTTCTTCATAGAAGACATAAATAATATACTTACGAAGAAGTTTAAATGTGTCATTGAAGGTTTCTATGTGATTGATGAGGGAGGAGATGAATTTATTCACCCTAAAAAGAATATGAAGAATATCTTGGCTGGGGACTGCTGAATCTAGCATCAGGGGACGGAGGGTGGAGGCCCTGTTTGTGTTTGAAAGATTGGAAACAGATTTCTCAAGACATGGAACATGATGGAAATGAAGTGTTAAGAGGTTCATGACACCATTTGGGAAATATGATTGGGATGTAGTGAGTCTTTGCCACTTTGAAAAAATAAAATATTTGAGAGTGTTTAATTCATTGCATATATGAGGCCATCTTGAGGACATTACTGATGGATTAGATTGTCTTACTTGAATTTTATGTAAGAAAAGACTGCAGTCTTGCTTGAAACACCTTAATGGACAGAAATAAGTTGTTGGTGACTTAACCATAAAATCAAAATCTTATTTATATACACTGCTGATAGGAAAATCATCTTCTTTAATGTTATATTGAAGATACTTAAAACCATTTTTTTTTTACAACTGTGTAAAACCAGTGGGGTTTTTTTTAATTAAAAAAATGGGTAGGAATTTTTGTTGCTCCTGTGATTGATTTTAAGATCGTATTTTGTTGCTGGCTTTGCATCTTGGATGTCATTAATTTAGTTGACTTGAATTAATGAGAATTGCGAACCTGTAATTTTCATGGAAGCATGTAATTGAATCATGCATAGGTGTTGCTTTTGCTTGTACTTCTGATGATAATTATTTACTATATTTTGCTATAGAAACCAGCAGCTGTCACTGTTTGTGTATGTTGAGTTAACTTGTGATCTCATTTTGATTAGTGTATTGTTGGAGTAACTCCAGTCTATTCAACAGTTATTCCAGTTTTATTCCTGTTTATACAGAGCATGATATGGTGTGTGAGGGAACTAGATCTCTTTTACTGTCCCTGAGGAGAAAGTCTACAGTGCTGGTTGTTTTATTTGTTGTGCTGATTATGTTAGGAGGATTTAAACTAGTTTATTCTAAATGATGTCGGAAAATTTGGTATGTGCAAAAGTGAAAGGCCTTAATGGTGACTGTGGGGAATCTTCAGTATCGCTTCGTGTTGAATCTTTATCGCAGCCAAGTAGCTATGTGCTGATGAGCAAGGGTGGCCTTTTGTACCAGCTACTCCCCCTTCTTTGCAGGTTCCTTCACCGTTACAATGGAAGAAAACAGAAGCGTGCTGGGTTTGTGTTTCGTGTTTTTCATTGATTAAGAGTAGAGAGGATGTGGAGGGTATGCAAAGGCACTTCTCTCTGTACTGTGTGGGCAACTGGATCAGTGACTGCACTGCTGAATTCAGGAGCGGACCGACACGGTCTTTCCCTGGACTGGGTCACTGGAGTATCCAGGTGGAAATGTACTGTGCAAGAAAGTGAATTGTCAAGTTAATTTGAGCTTCTTGGGATTGTTCTGGAGAATATTTGGACTGTGGAAGAAGCTTTCATTGAAGGGTGATGTATGCTTAGGAAAGAGAAGGGTGGCAGGCAGAAGGCATGCTAGTGGACAAAGTGAACAGAAGCTCTTAATTGCTTCCTCTTTCAGAGAGAAGATGAAAGAAACTCGTTCAGGACTGTCTTTATCTCCCACCCCATGGCCCTGCGCTCCCCTGAAGACTGCTTTGTAGTTTTAACAAGTAGATGTTTCTGAGACACAGTGGAATTGCAGCTTGCCCCATGCTTTGCAGCTTTGTTTAGAAATGAGAGAGGTTTAGGGAGAGATGAGACTCTCCAGGTTTTTCCTCAGCTCTGGAGAAGGCTAGAAATGAAAACACTTTTTAAGGGTCAGAAAAGTACATTTTATTTCTGGGATCAGTCATATCTGCTGAGAAATTACTCTTCAGATCACAGTAAAGGACCTAGAAATCTACTTCTATGTACCTAGCTCTGAGAGCCTTGCTAAGGATATTCCAGTTGGATGTGTTTATGTGTTCATCTCGGTGCCCACCTGCAGTCTCTAAAGGCCTGTTTTATGCCACAGGAGACACTAGGGAGTTATCGGTACCTAAGCAGCTTATATTGTTAGAGGGCTGCGTGCTTATCCATGGGCTGCAGGAGAAGTTCTTTAAATGCTTAGGCTTCCCTGAGCATTTAAAATGGTTTAAGAGGTTATGTCACCTGAAGGCTTCTAAAGGATACTCAACCATACTAAATCAATTTTAATGATATGGGCAGGTTGGGGTTTTATCTTTTTGTCACCAGCAGTGTTAGTGATTTTTGCTGGTATGATGATTCTGCAAATCTAGCATACTTTCTTGGCAGCCTCTTTTGCTGGGCTTTGA